ATAATATCAATACTCTGAAACATGTGATTTCCCTTTACTTGGCAGCAGCCATAGCACTGGGTTTTAATTGAGCTCCAAAAACAGTCTTTGTCGGACCCCACTTGCCCTTTTGTCAGGCTGGACTCACTTGTTCATTCAGTTAACAAATATTTCTTGAGTGACAGCTGTGTGCCAGGCAGTTATCTAGGTGCTGAGGAGACTCTGGTGAATGAGATAGACAAGCTGCCTGTTCTCATCTGGAGCAGGGATTGGGAGTAGGAGAGGTGATAAACCAAGGAAACAAACAAGATGCTAATTTCAGACAGGGGTGAATGCTATGTGATGGGATGGGGTAAGATCCCTGGGTGGCTTTGCACTTGACTACTAACCTAAAGGTTGGCAGTTCAAATCCACCTAGCTGCACGATGGAAGATCATCTGGTAATCTGCTTCCAAAAAGAATACAGCCAAGAAAACCCTATGGAACAGTTTTTCTCTGTAACACATGGGGTCGCCGCAAGTCGGAATTGACTTGACGGTAACAGGGTTGGTTTTTTGGAATGTGATGGAGAAGTCCCTGGGTGGTGCAGTTACATGCTCAGCTGCCAACTGAAAGAGGTTCAAGTCCACCCAGAAGCACCTCAGAAGACAGGCCTGGCCATCTACTCCCGAAAAATCAGCCATTGAAAACTCTATGGAGTACAGTTCTACTCTGACACACATGTGGTCGCCATGAGTCAAGAGCCACTCAGGGGCAACTGGTTAATGTGATGGTGAGTGCCCCAAGGTGGTACGGTCAATACTCACCTCTGGGGACCAGGCTCTGGGACTTGGGCATCTGCCCAGACTAGGCATATCTTGTGATGTCACAGCTCCTTTTTCCCAGGTGCTAGTTTCCTTCCACTTCCCAGTGAGCACCGGTCTCTCACTCTCACAAATACTGGCTACACAAGTCTAATAGAGCTTCCTCTGTCATCAGACACAATTGAAGTGCCAAGCACCAGAATCAGTGCCTGGTCAAAGGCAGTGGAGCAGGGCTGGGCTGGTGTGACTCTCTGAGGAATTTTCTCGTATCAGTTTTAGGGCTGTGTCACAGGACCTTTGGGCTAGAGGCTCCTGGTCACTGACTTTTATACTGAGGACCCTCAAATCTATCTCCCCAGCTAGATGTGTATCCTGAGCTCCACACTCAAATGGTCAACTACCTGATGGAAATATCTCTTTTGATGTTCCATCAGCATCTCAAATTCTACAAAATTGAACTCATTTCCCCTGTCTCCCACTTCATTCCCATTTCCAACCCATCACCTATTCTTCATCTCAGCAAACAAAACCACATTTCCCGATGCTTCCTGTGAGTAATCCTTAACTCCTCCCCAACATCCAAGTAATCATTGAATCTATTGTTTCTACCTCTAAATATCTCTTGAATCCTTCCACTTCTCTCCGTCAATCCCCCCGCTATTACCTTACCTCAGGCCGTCACTTTCTGCCTACATTCACATGACCACAGTTGTCCCCTAATTCTTCTCCTACTCCCAGTCTTGGTCCTTCTAATCAGTTAAACACAATGCAGCTTAAGACTCCTTTCTAAAATAAACATCTGGCCAGGTCACGTCACTGCTTTAAATTCTTCCATAGCTCCCCATTGTCCTTATATAAAGTTGGAACTCCTGGACATGCACTTCTGGGACCTTTTGGATATAGCCCTGTTTACCTCTCCAGCCTACTCTCTCCCTGTTACTCCTTGCTCCCATCTCTAGGCTCAGGCCACACCTGTTCGTTTTTCAGTGGGGACATATTCTTTCTTCCCTTTGGTCTTTGCATAACCTGTTTTCTACAACTGGAGCACTTCCTTCAGTCTCATCCCACTACCTTTGATTTGGCTAAGGCTTGTTCTTCTTGCTTGTCTAACAGTGACGCCACTTCTCCTGGAAAGCCTTCTGTAACCACCTCCACCTCCAACCCAAAGCCTGGATTAGGAGCGCCTTTTGTGTGTTACCATAGCCATCATCACACTATTTGGGTATTTGTCAATAAATTATAAATTATGAGTGCAGCAACTGTCTGTCTTGTTTGCCATTGTATCTCCAGCAACTAGCATAATGCCTGGCACAGAGTAGGTCAGCAATAAATATTTGTTGACTAAATTAATGGATGGCTATGTTTCCTTTAAGTAAATCTTCGTTTCTTCACCTATTCTTAAAAAAAAAAAAAAAAAAGAAACCTTGTATAATTTAAAGTTGTTGGTGTTGTTAGCTACCATGTAGGCAGCCCCTGACTCATGGCTGCCCCATATACAACAGAGCTAAACGATACCCGGTCCTGCACCATCTCCATGATTGGTTGGGAATAGGACTGTAGTGATTCATAGGGTTTTCATCGGCTGATTTTTGGAAGTAGATCACCTGGCCTTTTTTCCTAGTCCTTCTTAGTCTGGAAGCTCTGCTGAAACCTGTTCAGTATCGTAGCAACATGCAAGCCTTCACTGACAGACAGGTGGTAGCTGCGTATGAGGTGTGTTGGCCAGGAATAGAACAAAGGTCTACCACATGGAAGGCATGAACTCCACCACTGAACCACCAATGTCCCCTACAATTTAAAGTATTATGTGCTTATGGAAAACTTCTAAAACACTAAAAACTAATAGAAAAGACTCTATCGCTCACCTCCCCACACAATAATGACCACTGTTACCATTCTGGCATATTTTTCTCCTTCTGCGTATATTATTTTCATTGTTGATATCACATGATGTGTATAGTTTATTTTTCTTTGTGTTTGTAGCAAAGTGGAAATAGCTTTCCTCTTCCTTACTTAGTCCAAAGCAGCATTTCTGTTAAAATTTCAGGTGGCTTTCAGGATTCCGTGACAGACGCCATCTTCCTAGAGTTCTTCAGTGTTCTCAGGCATTTCAGCCAGGTGGATTCCAGGATGACAGCATTTCTGAAGTCACACTTTGTGCTCCATTTCTTAGTCCTAGGGCTTGTAATACTTTCAGGGGCTCAAGAAAATATTTTGATTTCTTTTAAGATCAGAAGAAAATGAACTTTTAGGCCATAGAAACTATTTTAATATATAATATCGACATATTTGTCTTTATACCAGTATAGCCATAAAATAAAATTTTACTAGTTTTGGGGGAGGAAGGGGCCCTTGGAGTACCCAGGAGCCATGAAAGCCACAATGCAGCCCTGCCTGGTGCATTTAAAAGCGCTCAACTTACAAACCAAAAAAAAAAAAGAAGTGGTAAGGAGGAGTCACTGAAGTTTTAAATGCAGAAGACCTATCCTTTGGTCAATTACTATCTTTAAAGTTTTCTTTCTTGAGCATAAACACAGAGAGCTTCTGGAAATTTCACATTAAAAAAAAAAAACCTGTTGCCGTGGAGTCTCTAGGACAGAGTAGAACTGCCCCACAGGGTTTCCAAAGGCTGTAATCTTTACGGAAGCAGACTGCCATATCTTTCTCCTGCGGAGCGGCTGGTGCGTTTGATCTGCCAACCTTTCAGTTAGTAGCCAAGCACTTAACCACTGCACCGCCAAACCAAAAAACCCATTGCTGGCTGTCGAGTCAATTCTAACTCATAGTGACCCTATAGGACAAGGTAGAACTGTCCCATAGGGTTTCCAAGGAGCAGCTGGTGGATTTGAACTGCTGACCTTTTGGTTAGCAGCCAAGCTCTTTACCACTGCACCACCAGGTCTCCACCAGGGCTCCTTAATATATAGTTAAGCAGGAGCACATCTTAAACATTTTAATTTTCTCTCAGGGTCTTTAATTTCCAGGATATTAAGAAGTATTGGCAATTGGATAGTCCTCCTGGAATAATTTTCCAATTCAAAATAAATCCACGTGTAAACTAATTAATGGAGTCATTCTGAGAACTATGCAATATTTGTTTTACGAACATTTCCAGAAGCGATAAGGAAGTGTTGGTCAGGATCACATGTGCAAAACTTTAGAAATATGTGGCAAGTATTCCTGTTACCCAGGTCTTCTGTTTCCTTAGTTTTGCTCTTTAAATATTTATGTGCACCTTCATCTTTCTGAGGGAAGAGACTATAGTTCTAATTCCATTCCATAGCATTTGGTACCATTCTAAGCACATAGCAGGCCCCTATTGCGAAAATTTTTGGCTTGGCAGGATATACATTTAGAATTGCTCAAACTAGAGGTGTTGATGATAGGAATTAGAGTCTAGTATATAATTCTAAGTCATTTAACTTAAATTCAGAAGGATGATCTTTCTTGGAATTAAGTCCAGTCCTGAGCAATTTGCAAAAATATACAGCATATCCACTGAGCTTTCTAAAAGAAAAATGTTGCAATTTAATGGTTACTGGTTGGCACCACAGTGAAGAAGGCCTCCAGATCTGCTCTTCTTAATAATTACTATTTCTGTTGTAAATCTAAAGAATTCCAGTCCTAACAAGTGACTGTAATTATGTCTAAGAAACAACAAAATTTGACTGGCAAATAAAATAAATAAATAAATAAATCTGACAATCTACCTGTCTCCATTTGCTTAAACTGGTACCATGGAAGGTACCAGAAGCTTTGGTCTGGCACTCAGGTCTTGTTCAAGTGATCTCAGATGAAGTAGTTTATGAACTTCTCCGGAAATACAAATTTTTGAAGACAATCTATTTTTCAGAGACAGAGTCATCACTCAGTTTTAACCTTATCTCTTTCCATCAAGCATAAAAGGGTATGACTTTTTTTTAAAAGGACTGAATACTATCCTACTTGTCAAATATAAACTCTTTCCAGAATTAGAGTTCCAAGTTGCCTCTGGGTGCCTAGAAGAACAACCTTGCAATTAGATTCTAATGGAGAAGATCCTCCCTTGATAGCAATGTTATTTCATATATTAAATGTTTTCCTTCTGTTTATCTTCTTCATACAACTGGATATTAAAAATTAGATCCACCAAGGGAGAAAGGAGTCAAAATGTTTGACTGGATTGTCTTGGCGGAAAAAGGAGTTTTAATTTTAACTTCTTGCTTGTCTTCACTACAGTTCTCCAAAGCTTCGCACTTTGGCCAGAGGCTTGTCTCCTGCATACCTGAGATTCGGTGGCACCAAGACGGACTTCCTAATTTTTGACCCAAAGAAGGAACCAACCTTTGAAGAGAGAAGTTTCTGGCAGTCTCAAGTCAATCAGGGTGAAATTTTGTAAAAAATTATCTATGTATTTTAATAAACTTGAGTCACTGTTTGGTTAGAGAGATAGGTTATTGTTCACACCTAACAATTAATGGAAACCCTGGTGGCGTAGTGGTTAAGAGTTTGGCTGCTAACCAAAAGGTTGGCAGTTCGAATTCACCAGGCACTCCTTCGAAACCCTATAGGGCCGTTCTATTCTGTCCTATACGGTCACTATGAGTCGGAATGTATTTGACGGCAACAGGTTTAGTTCTTCCGTTAACAATTAATAACTAAGTGCCTCCAGATGACCTTCCGAGGTACCTAAACAAAAGGTGGAAGCAATGGGCAGGTTTTCTCATAATGTTTTCTTAATTTTAAGACCTTATAAAAAAAGGTGTGCTGGGCAAATGTGAAAGTTAATTGTGCTGTAAAATAGAACAATGACTGTAGCTGAAGGAGAGAGCTTCGTAGAGGGAACATACTGGGCAGAAATGGGTCAAACTAAAGAGGGTACTTCCAGCTGGAGGTGTAGCAATGGATCAAAGTACATTTATCCTGGAAATAGAGTGTGGATGAAAGGTATAACAACGGAATGTGGAGAAATACACTGCTTCTAAGAATGGATTTTAAGACTTGATTTGTTGGGCAGTGGTTCTCCAACTTTATTGACTATGCATAATCGCCTAGAGTGCTTTTGAATATTGGGAGTCTTGGGCTTCACTCTTTGTTGTTGTTAGCTGCCACTGAGTTAGCCTTTGACTCATGGCGACCCAGTGGGTGTGCTACAAAGTAGAACTGCTCTATAGGATTTTCTTGGCTGTAACCTTTATGGAAGCAGTTCGCTAGGCCTTTCTTCTGTGGTGCTGCTAGGTGAGTTCGAACTGCCAACCTTTGGGTTAGCAGCCAATCACAAGCCTCTTGTGCCACCAGGGCTTCACCTTAGATTCCAAGTTTAACAAGCTCCTCGGGTGATTCTGTTATTGGAAGTCTAGGCCTCATCTGAGAACCCTGTCCTAGGGCGTCCCAAGAACTTGCCCTGCGTCTTTCTAAGTGTTATTCAGACATCAAGTGGAAGTTCATTTATAATAAAAATAATAAATATTTTTATTATTACTAGCAATAAAATATTATTTATAATATTAAATACAATTTAAAAGATTGTATGTACCATTTATAAGAATGTGTGCATAATGTGTATATTAATGAGTAATATTTCATTAATTCATACATGAAGTATTTTTCTTAGGAAACAAGAAGTAGTTAGAACAGCTAATCAACTAATCAGAATAGTAATTGGAAAAAATAGAAAAAAGCGGAGTAACTTGAATAACAAGTTGGAAGCATTTTATGTTTAGACTTGGCCCTTTCCTACCAGCCACATGCTTTCAAAAGGCCTCTTAAGCAGGAAACTGTCCTTTGCACATCAGTCTTCTTCATCCTGTGTGGGTTCACTGGAATTATCCTAGTGCCGCTGAAACATCCTTTCTGAGCACAGGGATGGATGAGGCACTGACTGCCAGAAAGCCAGAATGTGCATCTTCCCAGAAAGGAAGTTGCTGGCCAGTCAGCCAGCATTGGCAGTGAGCTCGAGCGGCCCTGCTGTCTTACGATAAAGAAACCTAGTCTGCCTGACAGGATAGTAGGGGGTTTTCCAGATATGCATGTTGTGGTCCCAGAATTTAAAGGGAAAAAGGTCAACATTTCTGGTTGTACATTCCATTACGATGAGGGTTTTACAGTAGCTGGACTACAAAAAGCAGATGTAGTCTAGCTACAGTAAAATTGGAACCTGTGTAAGGCAGAAACCTGTCAGAGGAGGAAAACTCAAATATTTTGCATTAACAGAGAGTGACAGGAAAGTGGAAGGCTGCTGTCAAAGGTGGAAAACTTGCAAGACCCAGAAAATCAAGAAAGTCCTGTTGAGTTCTGGCTCTCCCAGGTTTCACTGTATTTTGAAGATGAACCTTAGGAGAACTGATCTACACTTTCTTCAGTAGGGTTCTCTAGTAAATCAAGCTTCAGAATTATTAAATAATTTGAAGTTACGTCCAGTGTACCTGTGTTCAGTGTGTGTCCAGTGTTTCCTAGCAAACCTGCCTCTTGGTTGGTTTCTGTGGTGATTCACCAGCAAGATATGATATTTGTAACAGAATATATCTTTCTCTGATCTGATACCTAATAACCAGAAACTTAATTATCCTGCTTTAGTCACATAAACAGCTAAGTAAATATATGTATGGGATTTCAACCTTATCACCATGAAAGTAGATCCTCTAAATTCTTTTTCCCGTTTGCAGATATTTGCAAATCTGGATCCATCCCCTCTGATGTGGAGAAGAGGTTACGGTTGGAATGGCCCTTCCAGGAGCAACTGCTGCTCAGAGAACAGTATCAGAAAAAGTTCAAGAACAGCACCTACTCAAGTAAGAAATGAAAAACACCCTGCAGGTGTTCCAGCCCCCAAAATATTTGGATAGTTTGGATTTGGACTTGAATCTAATAATCCCTAAGCAGCTGTTGTGTAAAGCTGCAATCAGTTGCTGCTGAGTCAATCCAACTCATGGTGACCCCATGTGTGTCAGAAAAGAACTGTGCTCCATCGGGTTTCAAGCTGCTTTTTTGAAAGTAGATCTCCAGGCCTTTCTTCCGAGGTGCCTCTGGGTAGACTCTAACCTCCAACCTTTTGATTAGTAGCTCAGCACATTAACCTTTTGCACCATCCAGGGACTTTGCATAAAGCAGCTGAGTGCTTAACCACCGTGCCACCAGGGCTTCTGTGGTAAAGCTGTATAGTACTCAGATGCTATCTAGAGTTAACAGGAAATCTTGAACTCCAAAGGTCTATCTGTATTTCTTTTTTTAATCTGGCTTTTTTTGTTGGCCATTGAGTTAAATATAGAAATCCATGATTCGCAAGCTGATAATGACCTTCACTGCTCTGTAGAACTAGGGAGTCAAGGAAACATGAATATATTCCTCAAAAAAAAAGTAAAATACAAAAATATAAAGGGTATGACGTGAAAGTCCTTCGCACCTCCTTGCCCACCCCATCACCCCTACCCAGAGAGAACCCCTATTATAAGTTGGTGTGTATCATTAGGCAAGGAAATCCTGAGTTATACCAGACTCCGGGCCATCAGGCAGCTTTCTCGTTTTCTTTCCTCTGTAGCTTTCCAAACATGGGACTAGCTCAGCTAACTGGAGTTGTGTTTCCGTTCACTGATACTGTCTTCCAGTCTTTGAAACTGGATGTATTGTCACACATGGCCTTTAAGGCATACAGAACAAACAATTCTTATTTGACTCTGAAATACACTTTTATTTGTAAGTTGGTGTTTTATACCTAACTAAGGGATGTTGTTTCCCTAGATCTTTGTTAAGAAAATAACCTGCTCAGATACTCTCAAACTTTTTTTGGCTTTTGAAGAATAAATTATCTTCAAGTTAACTAAATTTGGGTTACCAAAACCAAACCCATTGCCATCGAGTCGATTCCAGCTCATAGTGACCCTATAGGACAGAGTAGAACTGCCCCATAAGGTTTCCAAAGATGTAAATCTTTATGGAAGCAGACTGCCACATCTTTCTCCTGCAGAGCGGCTGGTGGGTTCGAACTGCCGACCTTTCAGTTACCAGCTGAGCACTTAACCACTGGGCCACTAGGCTCCTTTAATATGAGTTAGTCAACATTTTTTTTTTTTGTACTTTAGATGAAGTCGCTATAGGGTCGCTATGAGTCAGAATCGACTCGAAGGCAACCGGTTTGATTTTTGTTTTGTTTTTAGATGAAAGTTTACAGAACAAATAGTTTCTCATTAAACAGTTAGTACACATATTGTTTTACGACATTGGTCAACAACCTCACGACATGTCAACACTCTCCCTTCTCAACCTTGGGTTCCTTATTACCAGCTTTTTTGTCCCCTCCTGCCTTCTTGTCCTTGTCCCTGGGCTGTTTGCCCCATTAGTCTCGTTTTATTTTATGGGGCTGTCTAATCTTTAGCTGAAGGGTGAATCTTGGGAGTGACTTCATTACTGAGCTAAAAGGGTGCCCAGGGGCCATACTCTTGGGGTTTCTCCAGTCTCTGTCAGGCCCTTAAGTCTGGTCTTTTTTTGTGAGTTAGAATTTTGTTCTACATTTTTCTCCAGCTCTACCAGACCCTCTGTTGTGATCCTTGTCAGAGCAGTCAGTGGTGGTAGCCGGGCACCATCTAGCTGTAATGGACTCAGTCTAGTGGAGGCCGTAATTAGGTGTGGTCCATTAGTCCTTTGGACTAATCTTTCCCTTGTGTCTTGTTTTCTTCATTCTCCCTTGCTCCCGAAGGGGTGAGACCAGTGGAGTATCTTAGATGGCCGCTCACAGGCTTTTAAGACCCCAGACGCTACTCACCAAGGTAGGATGTAGAACATTTTCTTTATAAACTATGTTATGCCAATTGAGCTAGATGTTTCCCGAGACCATGGTCCCCACAGCCCTCTGCCCAGCAATTCGGTCCCTCAGGGAGTTTGGATGTGTCTATGGATGTTCCTTGTCAACATTTTTAACAGTACATTATTTAAAGTGGAGCCCTGGTGGTACAGTGCTTAAAGTGCTTGCCTGCTAACCAAAAGGTTGGTGGTTCAAACTCACCAGCCTCTCCACGGGAGAAAGATGTGACGGTCTGCTTCTGAAAAGGTTACAGCCTTGGAAACCCCATGGGGCAGTTCTACTCTGTCTTATAGGGTCACTATGAGTCAAAATCAACTTGATGGCAATGGGTTTTTACTTAAAATAAATTTTTAGTCTTTGTAATATTTTACTGTACACTGCCTGGATTTTAGTGTATCAGATGGGTTTTTTAACTTATGTATATTTTTTAATTTATGAAGTATAGGAAAAGTATGACACATAAAGAATGAGAAAATAGGTTATATACTAATAGATGGGGCCCTGATGGCACTGTGGTTGAGAAAGTGGCTGCTAACCAAAAGGTCAGCAGTTTGAATCCACCAGCCACTCCTTGGAAACACTATGAGGCAGTTTCTACTCTGTCCTGTAGGGTCACTATGAGTTGGAATTGACTCAATGGGGTGTTTTTTGGTTACTAATAGACAGTGTAGTCCTCTAAATTATTTTTTGCATTTTAAAGAGCGGGACAACTACTCTGACACTTTAATAAACATGATCTACAATTGAATGGATTTGGATCTAAGGCAGGGCCATCACAGATCCCATTAAGGAAGTGACAGAAGTATAGAAGGACCACTAGCAGTAAGGTCTCATTTGTAAAGACTCGTTATGGTGTCATTCTACAGGAAAAGAAAGGCCTTCCTTTGCTAACCATGTAACTGGGTCAGTATAACTCCAACCACCCCATTGGCAATGCTAAAATGCATGATAAATACAGATGTTTTATTTATGCAGTAAGATACTTCCATATTTGGAAACAATTAGCTTCTGGTTTAAAATGTTTTATTTTAATCCACACGTGTCAGAAACAAGAAGTTACAAATCTACTGTGTTTAGTCTGGGCACCTATTCATTATAGTGACAAGTATCTCAGAAGATGATAGTGTTTTCACACACTGTTCTGAATCCATGGCTGAGGTTGGTAATGGCTGAGTAACTTAGAGTGGCATCACATGATGGAAGTGGTAGCAAAATTCTGTGTGGCAAGGACATTGTTCAGTCAGTGGCCTGCATCATGCTTTTTCAGGTGTTCTAGAGGATATGAGTAAATTTTCTAGTACAGATCCCCTCGGGGAGTTTGAATGTGTCTATGGGGCTTCCATGACCTTTCCTTGTACAAGTGGTGCTGGTTTCTCCTGTATTGTGTACTGTCCCACCCTTCACCCAAGATACCACTTATCTATTATCTATTTAGTATTCCCCCCCCTCACCGCTCCCATCCCTGGTAACCAACAAAGTTTGTTACATTTTGTGTGTGAATTTTTTCA